CCTGTCGCCAGGCCGGCCCCCAGCCCGGCGGGGTAGATCCAGATAAACAGAGTGGGAATAAACACGGGATGGGCGATGGCAGAAGGGAGCGAGGTTTGTGGAAGTGAAGCCGAGAACTGAACTTTAACCCGAGCGTTGTCTCTGTGCGTGTTTTCCGCACTGAATTTCCCCTGTCGGGAGGCTGAGTGCCCGTGCCAGGGATACGGGTGTCTGTGCCAGGGATACGGGTGTCTGTGCCAGGGATACGGGTGTCTACGGAACAGCCCGAGCTCCTGGAGACAACCCGAGCGTCACCAGCAGCCTCTGCTCACCTTAAGGTCTCTGTCTCTCTGTAGGTGCTGAGCCAGGATGGGTTTGGCCGAAGAAAAAGTGTACAGCCACATTATGAGGAACCTCAAGCATTTCGGGACTATCCATGTGGGGTCGCTGGCTGATTCCCTGACCTGCCTGGTCGATTCTGACAGAGTAATTTCCTACTTCCCCGAGCCCTGCCATGCTCCTTCCCCAAAGGGAACGTACAGCTGCCTTGCCCCTAAGCCAGAGCCTCTCTTAGATGCCCTGTGTGTTTTTCCTAGGATGAACTCCACGCCCGGGAGGAGATGCGGGGCAGCCAAGCCACCGTGTTCAAGTTTTATCAGCTCCTGAGGTGCCGGAAGGACTGGGTGCAGGATCTCATCCAGGCCCTGCGCCACAACAACGCAGGACACTTGGCCGATGAGGTGCAGGAGGTGTATGACACCTGGAAACGCCGTACGTAGCCTCGTCCTCCCTGAGTGCTGCCCTGGGAAGCTGGTGGAGGTGGGGACCCGAAACACATCACTGAGCAGCTGGTCTCTGTCCCTGCCTTGGTGTCTGAGGGGCTGGGGGTGTCTGACCATCCCTCACCGTGGTGACATGTCTGAGGGTGATGGGGTCCTTCTTTGAAGGTGCCTGGGTTGGTGGTGGGCTGGAGTTCTCACCTGGAGGGAAGGTGGGGAAATGAGTGAAGGGCTACTGTGTGCTTGGCCACTGTGGGCACATGCAGGGCTTCCTTGGCCCCATGCTCATCCTCTGCT